GAGGAGACAGCAAGCGGTCACACGTTATGGACACCCGGCTGACGGAGACAGGGCCAGGATACACTCGCTAGGGGACAGCATAATGACGCCTGGCGATCACACACAGACACACGCAACTAGGTCACCTAGGATCTCTGAGAGCAGGGGGAGTCCGGCCTCCTAGTGGCCCGGGGACCCGCAGCTGGGCTGTGGGGTAGGGGTTAGGGAGAAGCAGATGCACTCTAGATCAGTATTCACCTCCACCTCTCGGGATGTCTTGGACCTGGGCTCCGAGAGGGAGGGGACCTTAACGAAGGACAGCAGTGAGCTGTCGGCTCAGGACCAGAGGAGGGTCTGGCCTGGCTCGGGACCGACAGTCCCTGGAAGGGTACCCACCCCGGGATCTTTGAGGCGGGGCTGCCTGAGCCCTGTGGGGCTGCACAGAAGTTGGCTCTGATCCTGCTGGGCTCTGGGTTGGGCCGCGAGCCCTCTTGGCTCTCCTTGGCGATTTTGAAGGTGTAGGGACTCTTCCCCGCTGCTGCAGGCGGGCCTGCTGCCTTCTGGGGTGTGGCGGGGGCGGGGCTTAAAGGGCTAGTTTGGGACGGCAGCAGGGGACATGCCAGGCCTCTGGAGCACCTGCCGCTCTCGCCCACTTCTGCGTCCACGTCCCTCGTGGAGGCCACGGAAGTCATTCAGGAGGGTGCCTGGCCCTGGGCCGGAATCCTGCCTCTGCTGGCTGCATTCACCCCTAGGCCCACCCCTGCCCCTCCCCGTTTCTGCTCCGATATCTGGATCTCCTACGTATGTGTTTATGCCCTGGGCGCACTGGCTGGGTATGACTTGGGGCTAGAGAACAAGAAACTCTTTAAAAGGTGCATTTAGTAGATACGTGACCTGATTCCCTGGCTCTGTTGAACTGACCAAGAGAGAGCTGAGATGGGTGCCCCCTCCCATCCCCCCCTTTCCCAGGGCTCTCCTGAAGTCTCGGCAGCCCTGGGCAGGCAGCGCCCCAGCCCCTGAGAAAGCAGGAGAGGCCCTGGGAGGAGGGGAGTCTGTGGCCAGGACAGCCAACATCCCTGGGCGCAGACTGCCGGGCTTGGCGGGGCGGGGGGCAGCAGAGAAAGCCCCCTCCTCATGCCTCCCCCTGACCTGGCCGCTCCAGGGACCCAGGGCCGACTGTCCACCACCCAGCGTGGCACCCAGCGCTGGGGCGGTGAGCCAGACCACCTTCTAAGGCTTGGGTGCTGGCCACCCAGCCCTCACGCCTGGCCGACTTGGCCTGGAAGCCGGAGAGGCCCTCAGTTCCTGTTCCAAGTGGCCAGAGTAATGGTGGGGGGAGAGGAGGCCTGGCTGTGCCTGGCTGTGTTGGGCCCCAGGAGAGTGAGGGGGTGTCTGCAGATTTTGGGGGAGGGTCGCTCAACTGAGCAAGGGAAGCTTGGGCCAAGCAAACCAGGTGCCAGGGACTGGGATTCTCTCTCTGAAACGACAGTGGTGAGTGGCCAGGAAGGCAGCGCGCCGGGCGTGGGGAGCAGCGGGTGAAGGGGCAGCGGGGGCCCCGACGCAGCCCCCCGGGACAGCAGCGTAGGGGGGTTGCCGAGCCTACACCAGGCGCCGGTGCAGCAGGGAGCCAGGCGGGCAGAACTGGTGCGGGTGGTTGTAGGGGGGCGGGGCGGGGGGCAGGGGCGGCTGGTGGGCCGCCTTGACGGGGGAGCCCGGGCTGCCCAGGGCCGTGGAGGAGGACGCGGTGTAGCAGGATAGGGCCTGGCTCAGCAGGGGCTCCATGCGGGCCAAGCAGGGCTGGTCCAGGACGATGACCTTGACAATCTGCTGGCACTGCACCAGGGTCCCGGGGGCTGTGGGCGGCGGTGGTGGCAGCAGAGGGGCCCGCTCCCTCGAGGGGCTAGGCTGCAGGTCTGGCACTGGCGCTCCCCTCGCGGCCCCCAGCCCGGAGTAGTGCTGGGACGTTTGAAGCCTGTTGTGAATTGACACCTAGTTTAGAAACAGCCAGAGAAGCGTGAAATGTTACAAGACTAAGTCCCAGCTGCTAGGACTGGCCACCCTGGGCCTCCCTTCCCCCCTTCCCCGGCCCCTGTGCCCACCAGGGGCTCACAGCCCTCACCTCGGCCCGCTGCCCATCTCTCCGCCACCCAGAGGGCACCCAGCTGGCAGGCAGAGGCGCTGAGCCTGGGTGGAGTCCAGAGACGCTGTGCTCTACCCGGCCTGAGCGGCCTGGCTCCTTCTGTGGGATGGGCGGCTGGACCGATGGACTCAGGTCCTGCTGGGTGGCCCTGGGCCCCAGATGGGCGCCCACCCGCCTTCCCACCAACCTTGAGCTGGGAAAGCAGGGGTATCTGCCTGCGCCCTGCCTCCCAGGGGTGTGCGGCGGACGCAGGGACAGGGTCCGGAGTCAGGTGGCTTGGAGCTTGCAAGCCCCTAACCCTCCCACCAGCTTTTTAAAGGGAGGCCTTCTCATCACAGTGAATCACAAAGGTGTCCAGACCCTGGGATGCCAGGGACCCCGAGGGGTGGTGTGGACCTGCCCCATCCTCCCAGACTCCCCAGGGCTGTGCCCACACATTCGAGAGCAGCCAGGGCCAGAGCCAGGTCCCCAGCTGCCCTTCTGGCCCAACCTGGGCCCTGGAGAAATCCGTCCCGCTGCAGGAGGGGGAACCCAGAAAGGGCTCTAATCTTTCCCCCTTGGGCGGGGCATGAGGGGGTGGCCCATGGAGGGCACTGGGAACTAGCCTGGCCTCCTCTTGCTAGCAGGGGAGGTGGAAGAAATAGGAGGATTCTGGGAGGAGAGGGGTTTAATTCCTCATCCCTCCAGCTCACCAGCCTGTAGATACGACACACGATCCCCTTCCGACACCTGGGCCCTTCAGGGAGTGGCTGAGACCCTTCTCTCTGAGGATGCCCTTGGGTACCACGACCCAGGCCCGCTGCTCAGTGCACGGGGGGTGGAAACCGAGGCTGCAGGGGAGGGGATCCTATGGCCAGGTCTAGACCAGGAGGGCCCTGCCCTAAACCATCTCAGAGCCCTAAGCCTGACCCTATTTACTGGCAAAAGGTGCAGTTTCAGGGACGCCCCCTCCTGGGTCCGGGCACTGCCCTGGTGGGCTGCTCGGCTCTCCAGCCCCGATCCTCTGCCCTTGGGTTTTCACAGGCCCCCACCGCCAAGCTCCGCAGGCTGCAGGCTCTACTCTCCATTCTCAGCCTCCAGCCTCAGCAGTGTGTTCTAAGCCTGAGCTTCCCCCACCTCCCAGTCAATCAAAGGAGCCCCGGAGCCCCTCAGTGCCCTGCCAAGCCCTGGGCTGGGCCGAGGGCAGGGCTGCGTCCACCTCCCTCTCGGGGAGCCCTCTGTGGTCCTCACTGGGACAGAAGGCCTCTGTCCACTGCTGCTGGGGAGGGGTGGGTGCGGCTCCATTCCCCACCTGCTTGTCTTCTGAGCTATTCCCTGGGAGAAAGTGGCCTGAGACAGCGGGGCAGGCCTTCTGCTCTCCGCCCCCAGACCTTACAGCTGCCCTTCCCCAGGCAAACGCCTGGCCGCCCCAGTCCAGACCCTCCGAGCCCCGCTGTGGCCGCAGCCCTGGCCTCACCCTGCACCTCCTCTTCGCCTCCCCTTCCCCCCTCCCCCTCCACTGTCTGCACCTCCCTCCGGTCAGTAAGTGAAAAGCAGGAAGTGACAGCAAAACATTCCCTCATTCTGACCCCCTTCCCACCTCCCTGCTGATGAAAGAAAGAAGAGAGAGAGGGAGAGAGAGGGAGAGAAGATGGAACATGGGTGGCAGGCCTGACAGCTCAGACAGGCTGGAGAAGGGCCTGCCGGCGGGTGGCCAGGCAAGGACAGAGCGGGTGGAGGACGCAGGAGCGCAGGGTCCAGCCGACAGGCCGGCGGTGAGGCCGCCTCTGTGCAGGGGAGCAGAGGCTGTCAGAGCCCCGGGACTAGCCGGGTGGCAGCCTTGCAGATAGCCACGTGGCCCTCTGGGCCGCGGAGGAAGGGATAATGGTCCCCAGATCGCGGCCCTCCCTGGGCAGGTGGTGCTAAGCCACAGGCAGGGCTGGTAGAACAAACCGAAGGGAAGGGCTGGTAACCTCGTGTGTTTATCTGCAAGGCTGGAGAACGGGCAGCTGCAGCATGATGGGCAGAGGAGGGGCAGGGGCTGGAATACCCACCCTGGGGGCTTGTCAGCTGCTGGGGCAGGAAGCTCCTCCGTGCGAAGGTGCCTCCTCCAGACACAGGTGTGGGGGGGGAGGGAGAGGAGAAGCTGCGGTTTTCTGGGGTGTCCTGGGGCTTCCCCAAGCTTAGGCTGGGGGCAGGGCTCCTCCAGCTTGGAGTGAGGGTCTGTGTGAGCAGTGAGGGTCCCTGGAGGCCTGGCAGAAAGGAGTGAGGGGCTCACCAGGGTCCGAGGGGAGCCAGTGGGGAGGGCTGGGGCCCAGCAGGCCTGCGGGGCAACTGCATGCCCTGTCCCAGGTGGCCGCCGGGGGCCTGGCGGGCACCAGCTGCTGCTGCTACTTCTCCAGTCCCCTCCCTCCAACGTGGACAGTCTTCAGATGCAGCAGCCGCCCGCCCCGCTCCAGGAGAAGCCCTAAGACAACCCCACCCCCACCTCGCCTCACCTCCTCCTGCACATCCCACCCCGTGGCCAGCTTTCCAGATGGACCAGCTGTCCTGGGAGGAAACTGTACCCTCCCAGCCGCCTCCACTTTCCCCAGAGGCATCCAGGAGGGCAGGGTCTGCCCCGCCGTGCTCACTCGGGCAACAGACCTAAGGGGTGATTCTCGAAGGGGCCAAGCTCCCTGCTACAGAGGCTGACAAGATGTGGAGGAGGGAACCTTGGTCTCTGATACGGGAGCATCAGGACCACAGCAGTGTGTGGGGCGGCGGATTTGGGGGGCTGTGGGAGGGGTGCAATGGGGGCGTTGGGGGCTTTATCTGCACGCATTAGTATGGGAGCTCGGCCTGGGGAATGGGAGGGGGCACTGTGGCTTGATTAGGTGCTGGAAGAGTGGTATTACCCATGCTAGCAGTAACTTTTAATTGTATCTCTTGAAATTGGTAAAATGGTGAGTCGGGCTGGGGAGGCATTGATTAAAACCTGAGAAGAGAAACAACAGAGACAGTGAGAGGAGGGCAGGGGGCACAGACTCACTCACCTGGGCAACCAGGCCTCCACTCACCTCCGCCGTGCTCTCCGCCGCCTTCTCTGCCGGTGCCGCTTCCCTTTTGGCTTTGAATGCAAAGAGCACAGGGCTCACTCTCCACCTGGCCCCGTCCCCGCACAAAGCCCTGTCTCCGCCGCCCCGCAGCCCCCAACCAAGCCTCCCTGCAATTCAGTGCGGCGGCCGGAGGCTCCAGGACCCCCACCACTCCGGGGGCAGTGGACTGGGTGTCTTGCCCAGCTCTGCCACATACGAGCTATGTGACCTTGGGCAAGATGCTACACCTCTCTGGGCCCTCATGGACTAGAAGGTCTCTGACGTTTTTCCCGCTGGGTATTGTGGAGTCTCCTGTACCCACAGTCAGAGCGCCCCGTACGGACTGTGCAGGTTGGTTGTGAGGAGGCCTTGGTTCTCGGTCCCCAGAGCAAAAGGGGGCTCCTCTGTGTCTGTGGCACAGGCTCCGAGAGGGAGGGGCCCCGTTCCTTTCCTGTTCCTGCTCCTTAGCTGAGTGGTGAGGGTTCACCTGCACGAGCCCCAGGGCAGGGCCTGGCACGAATAGCTGCTAATGGCTCTGACGGCTACCAGGGCCTCCTGATGGGCCTGGCACAGCACCAGGGACCCTGCAGACACCCGGGGACAGCGTGATGATTTTTTCTGGCTCAGTCAACCCTGACTCCCACCCCTACCCCCAGCAGGCACCCCAGAGCCCTCGGCCGGGGCCCCTCTGATTTCTCACACCCCTGGGGAGGGTGCTAGTTCCCTTGCTGTGCACATCCCTCTGCTTTCTGTAGCACAAGAGGAAGCTGGGGAGGGAACTGATGGACAAGGTCCCGGAGATACACATCAGGGCCTGGCCAGGGGCTGCAGCTTCCCAAAGAGGCAGGCTGGGCTGCAGAGAGTGGAGTGGGGCAGGGTGTCTGGGAATCAATCACAGCTGAGGTTTGACTCTATTACACAGCTGTGAAAACAAGCGTGTCCTCTGACCTTGTAGAAATAAAGGGCCAGGACTTCCTTGGTGGCGCAGCGGTTAAGAATCCGCCTGCCAATGCAGGAGACACGGGTCGAGCCCTGGTCCGGGAAGATCCCACATGCCACGGAGCATCTAAGCCCGTGTGCCACAACTACTGAAGCCTGCACACCTAGAGCCTGTGCTCCGCAACAAGAGAAGCCACCGCAATGAGAAGCCCGCGCACCGCAGCAAAGAGTAGCCCCCGCTTGCTGCAACTAGAGAAAGCCCGCATGCAGCAATGAAGACCCAACGCAGCCCAAAATAAATAAATAATATAAATTTATAAAGAAAGGAAGGAAGAAGGAAAGAAGGAAAGAAAGAAGGAAGGAAGGAGGAAAGGAAGAAAGAAAAAGAAAGGAAGGAAGGAAGAAAGAAAGAAAAGAAAGAAAGGAAAGAAAGAAATGAAGGGCCAGCTGAAAACCAGGGCAGGTGGAGAATTATGAACACATGGTGGCAGGTCAGACCCATACACCGAGGAGACACCACAGCGAGGGTCTCCATGAGCTAAAAGAGCCCCGAGTCTTGCTTGGAAAACAAATCTCCTCTGCCAGCTGGCGTGACCAGTCCTGTGATGCTGATACAGCATCTCGGCGCCACGGCCGTAACGGGGGGTTTGGAACCAGCATGGAGCCCACTGGAGTGTCTCAGCGCAAGCTGACGTCTTGCTGGGACCCTGGCTTTCCAGGGCCTAGCACGAGGCACACAGCAGGCACTCAGTAAGTGTTCATTAAATGTAGGAATAAACGACTGAATTAATTAGTGAACAGCTCTGGATGGTTCACTGGGGTTTGCTGGGATGGGATTTAATTCTCATGCCACCTCTCCTAATTCTTTTCTGTTTGGGGCAGATGGAGCAGGGGTGGGGCGGTGAGGGGTGGAGACAACTCTTCCTGTCTCCCTGCAGGTTGGGGGGAGGGGGGAAGGTAGGAGGGGGCAGTGGGAGCGGGTCTAGAGAACGTGGCCAAAGGTGATACAAAATCTGAAGCTGGCTTGACTTCTCTGGAGTGAAAATTCAACTTGAAGAAATCATTTGAGAAATTGGGTTTGAGGGTTCATCTGGGTTTCAGGGTGCTGACTCGGGCCTGGGATTAGAGAGTGATGTTGGCTCATTAGGGGAAGGTCTTGATGGGGCAGATCAAGATTTCCAGACCCTTCTGGCCACCTGCCTTCTCACCTGCTCCTAGCCACAGACACGGCACTTTTTCCTCACGTGGCTTCCCTTTCCCACAGCCCTAACCCCCGGTGTGCGGAGGGAACAGGTGGGCACTGGGGCCCTGAGCCTGATGCCTCCGGGGGAACAGTGACCTTTCTAAGTGGACACGTTTCTCTCTCACCTTCCCCCTCAGTCTCACTGCTAAAGACCCAGCAGATGAGGCCACGGAAACGAGCCTTTCCCTCACCCGAATCCCCAGGACCCCAAGGCCAGGGTCGCTGAGTGGCCTGCACGTGGACCAGGGCCGCAGGTCTGGAGCTCACCTGTGGGCGATCCCTGCTTTGACCGTGGCTCCCCCTGGGCTCCCCCGGCCTTGAACGAGAGGGTCTTCGTTCCTTGCTGCTTCTCCAGCTCCCCTGGGGAACCGAGAGGCTCGTGAATGGACAGAAACCCTGACCTCCAGCACAGAGGGGGGAGGAGACGTGAGACAAGGGCAGGAGGGGGACCGACCTCCAGCACACAGAGGGGGGAGGAGACGTGAGACAAGGGCAGGAGGAGGACGAGGGGCTCCCAAACACGCGGCACCCACGCCACGTCAGCCTCAATGAAACCCCGACCTCCAGCACACAGGGGAGAGGAGACGTGAGACAAGGGCAGGAGGAGGACGAGGGGCTCCCAGACACGCGGCACCCACTCCACGTCAGCCTCAGTGCCGGGACTTGCAGCGCCTGTTCTGGCAGCCAGAGAGGAGGTGCAAGAAGTTGATAAGAGGGAGGCGACAGCCTGGGGCTGCATCCTGGCTCTGATGCTGCCTGGCTGTGTGGCTTCAGGCAGGTTACTTATCCTCTCTGTGCCTCCTTTAAGAGGACTGCAGTGTCCACTTCAGAGTGTCATTAAGAGCATCACAGGAGGGGACTTCCCTGGTGGCACAGTGGTTGAGAATCCGCTTGCTGATGCAGGGGACACGGGTTCGAGCCCTGGTCCGGGAAGATCCCACATGCCACGGAGCAACTAAGCCCATGCGCCACAACTACTGAGCCCGTATGCTGCAACTACTGAAGCCTGCGTGCTGAGAGCCTGTGCTCTGCAATGAGAAGCTCGTGCGCCGCAACGAAGAGTAGCCCCCGCTCGCCGCAACTAGAGAAAGCCCATGCGCAGCAACGAAGGCACAACGCAGACAAAAATAAAAGATAAATAAATAAATGTATTAAAAAAAAAAAAGAGGATCACAGGAGGAAAGACATTAAGGCACTTAGAACAAGGCCTGGATGCTGCAGGGCTCAGTAAATATCAGCTCCTGTGACGACATCAAAGGCTCACGTGGTGTAGCAGCCTCAGCACCGCTGGTGCCGTGCAGCCAGCTGGCTGAGCTCCCCCGAGGAGGAGGCCCCAGTCGCCCAGGGGCCCCAGCAGAGGTCTGTCTGGCTACTCGGCTTTAACTCCTCTCTCTAGACCGTAAACCTGTTCCTTCTGTCTTTTCTCGGTGGTGCTGGAGAAGGGCCAGTTACCCTCCTCGGAGACTTGACAGCCGTTATTAAATCTCTCCTCTGTTCCTCTTTTCCAGGAGACATCACTCAAGTTCCTTGTATTAAAGCTACTCTCTTGGGTCCCATTCTCTGCCTGTCTAGTCGTCTGTAATCTGGGGGCACCGGCCTGCAAACCCCAAACCAGAACCATTTGTGCCGATTGCCCGAGTCACACCATCAAGCAATACTCAATATTTTTACTGAAGTGAGAGTGGCTCTCTCTCCCCAGAGGGGCTGTCTTGGCTTTGGAGAAGTTAGCGCTGTAATTACAAGCAGGGCATCCGAGGAACCTGGGTGCCAGTCTTGTCCTGTCAATGACTGCGTGAATTTGGACAACTTCCTGAAGTTCTGTTAGACTCAGTTTCCTTATTTGCAACATGAAGATAATAATTCTCACCTCCTGGAAAGATGTAGCAACAGTTCATACAATAGGCTCAGCATTCAGCCCAGTGTGGGCACGTAGTAGGTGCTCGAGAAACGGGAGCTGTGGCTACTTTTTCCTGTTTTCTACTTCCTTTTTCCCTGCCTCTCTGAGCAGCCCTTCCTCTTTCCTCAGCTTTCTTCCCTTTCTCTCCAGACATGAGCCTGGTCCCTGCTCTCCTGCCCTCAGCACACGGATCTTGGCAACATCTCCTCCTTAGTACTTGGAGGGGCAGGACGTGCTGCTCCCAGGCTGATGGGGAAAGGGACTTCTGGCAGCCATGCTGGTGCCCACCCATGGGCTCTGTGCTCCGCGGCTGTGCGGACCCATCTAGGACATACTGACAAGAGGGTGTGTCTCTGAGAATGTTCTAGATCAACAGCAAAGGTGGCATTGAAAAGAGTCTGTCTGTTACACCCCTGAACTCACATTGCCAACGGAGAGCAGAAGGGGAATTTACACCCTCCCCTGTACCAGGTGATACTGAGTTAGTTTCACAGTCTGGTCTGGTGAGGTGGTTTTTTTTTTAATTTAATTTATTTATTTTTGGCTGCATTGGGTCTTCGTTGCTGCGCGCAGGCTTCCTCTAGTTGCGGCGAACGGGGGCTACTCTTCGTTGCAGTGCACGGGCTTCTCATTGCGGTGGCTTCTCTTGTTGCAGAGCACGGGCTCTAGGCGTGCGAGCTTCAGTAGTTGTGGCTCGCGGGCTCTAGAGCGCAGCCTCAGTAGTTGTGGCGCACGGGCTTAGTTGCTCCTCAGCATGTGGGATCCTTCCAGACCAGGGTTCGAACCCGTGTCCCCTGCATTGACAGGCGGATTCTCAACCACTGCGCCACCAAGGAAGTCCCTGGTGAGTTTTTGTTTTAACCTGATTTCGTTGTTTCCTTAGGAAATTATAACAGAAGCTGCCCTCTCATATTCAGGGTGGAAAGTACATGAACCTTAGAATCAGACGTCACTGCAACGGCCAGATCCTCCGCTTCTAACATGCACCTTAGACGCATCCCTTAACCGCTCTGAGTCCCATCCGTGAAGTGGGGGCCAACACCTGCCTTGCAGCCTCCCCGTGAACACCTCAACAAACCACCTGGCACACAGTAGGTGCGCCAAAGATGCTGATGAAACAGCACCGCCCTGGCGCGTCGGCCCGTGCTCAGAAACTCCCACCGCCTTTCCTCCTGCCCAAGGGCTTTATACCAATTTAGAAATACTTTTCAACTAAGTGGCCATGTAAGGCAGACCTGGAGTCTGCTTTTATTTTCTGTTCTAGTTTCTGAATCCATTCTTACTTAATTTTCCTTTAAAGGCTCTTTGAAGCCGCTGCAATACTTCACCAGGAAAGCTTGCAGGTGGGCAGAGACCACAGGGCGTCACTGCTCTTTTCTTGAACCAAGAGGTGACCGGTAAACCACCGGGACAGATGAAGAGGCGCAGAGATCGTCTACAGTACCCGAACGGGAGCCATCGGGAACCGAGGCACTCCTTGGAGGCCAGAAAGACAACTCCAAGTTGAGGGACAGTCAGAAAGCCAGACTGGACTCTTCAAGGAGATGACGTTATGAAAAAATTAAGTGGGGGGCTATTCTAGGTTAGAAGAGATGAAAACCATGAAACAGCCGGGTGTGACGTGTGAATCTGGACTGGGTCAGGGGAGGAGGCTGCCAGGGAGGTTGGGTGGGAAGAAGTGCTCCAGGCTCGGACCTCCTCGGTTTGCAAGCCCGCCTTTAGGGCCGGCTTGCTCGCTGGTCCTGGTCAAACCCAGCGGAGTTCTCCGTTCCGAGGGGCCCACACGCCGCCCCACGGCCTGGCTACATGTGCACATGCATGTGTACACGCTCAGGTACCTTGCCTTAGCTGTGAGGTGTCCATCAGCCATGATGGTGCCGTGGGGCTGAGGCAGGGAGGGCTCTGGAGGGCAGGAGGGGCCTGGCTCGCCCACACACCCTCTGCAGGGGTGCAGGGAGTGTCTGTCTGCAAGCGACCCTGCTCCAGCTGACCGGAGCCCGGCCGCACGGAGGCTCTGGGGTCACCGCGTCCTTACACTCTATCCGGATCTGCTCCAGCTCCGTCACCTCCGCGATGGACTCCTTCAGGTCCTCCACAAACTTCCGCATTTCGTCCAAGCCCAGGGCGCAGAAGTGCAGCACCTGCTTCTTCTCGGAGCCCGAGAGCGGGGTCACCAGTGTGATGCCGTGAGAGTAATCTGGAAACCAGACCCCAGGCCCCACAGGCCGTGAGCAGCTGCAGGTGAGGAGGGGGCCTCTGGAGCGCCTGCCCCTCCCCCTCCCCTGCACCCCCCGCCCTCTGCCACATCCACAGGTGACCGAGACTTACACTCATTCTCAAAGAGGTGGAACTGCATGCCCAGGAGGCCCACGGACTTGCAGAAGGTGTACGTGGAGGAGCTCTTCTTCTTGGGGCAGAGTTTGAGAATCTGTCCAAGACAGGGGAACAGCCATGCACTGACAGGTGTGCATGTGTATAAACGTGCCTTACACACCTGGATGAGTGAACACCCAGGGCTCTTGTGAACACAAGTAAACACCCAAAAAGAGACATGCACACACATGCCCACTTACGCACTTAGGATACATTCACACACATATACACACGTGTACACACACATACATATGTACAGACACAGTATCAAAATACAGTCTTCACTGCACAAAATGCTCCAGTGGCCATTCCCACAGCACTTAGAGGCCAGTCCACACTTCGTGCCCTGGTTTGTAAGCCCCACCTAGTCTGGTCCCTGCCTTACTCTGGCTTTATGTTCAGTCCGTGCTGCCCTTTCTGTAGCTTGAACGGGGCAGGCTCAGTCCTACCACAGGGCCTTCGCACCTGCTGTTTCCTTCCACAACTCGCCCTGCAGCTTCTTGCGTGGTTGGGTTCCTCTCATTACTTAGATCTTAACTCAAATGCTGCCTCCTTAGAGATTCCTTTCCTGACCAGCCTTTACAACAAACAAAAACAAAATAAGAGAAAAAAAAAATCCACCTTAACACCAGCTACTCCAACCTATCACCCGGCTTTGTTGTCTTCATGGCACCTTCCCCCGGTTTGATATCATCTTGTTTGTCTTCTTAATTATTTTCTACCTCCCTTGTCTCCTGAAACACAAGCTGAGGTAGCAGTTGCTTGGTGTACAAATGTTTCTTCAGCACCTTCTGAGCTGGGCTCTGAGACACAGGAGAGGACGGGGGAGCCCGGCCTCAGGGTGCCTCCCTCTGGGGAGGAGGACCCTCAGGGTCCATAAATCAATCAGTGGATCAATCCACCATCGCACAGTAAGCCAAAAAGCAACGTGAAGACACGGATACATAGGGTAACTGCAGAAACTGGTAGGTGTTTTGAAGAAGAAGTAGGGTCAGGACAAGGCGGTGGGTGGGCAGGCCACCTGTGAGGTGGGGGGAAGAGCATCTGCACTGAATGAGGAGAGGCAGGGGGTCGTGCAAGGTCTGGGGAGCTTTTCAAGCAGACGATGGAGCCACAAGGTTAAGGCCTGAGACGGACGGAGCCCGGAGTTGGCCTGGGGAGGCAGCTGGTGGGGCAGGGGGCGGGCGGCAGAGGAGAGGCGTGGAGGGAGGTGAGGTCTGGGAGCTGGCGATGCTTACTCCGCGGAGGTGGACCTCAGGCGGGGAGCGTTGGATTTGGGACAATTTTCGAGGTAGTGCCAGTATGACTTGTGGATGGAGAAGGTATGGGGTTTGAGGAAAAGACAGAAGCCAGACCCTGTTCACTCTGCTTCCCAGCACTTAGAACACTGCCTGGGACATAGTTGGTACTCATTAAATATTTGTTGTATGGATACCTGTGTTCAAAGAGCAAAGGCCGAGCACCCCACAGACGTGTGCGCGCGCGCGCACATACACACACACACACACACGCGCACACACACACACACGCCCACACGCACACCAGCATCCCCCCTGGGCCCAGGGACAGTGTGGGCCCCCTCAGGCCTCCTGCACTTCCCAGGCTGTGGGACGGACGTGCAGCCCTGTACCCTCCAGCCCCAGGTTCCCCACAATGAGGGGGATGCAGAGGCTCTGGGACCTAATCCATTCGCACCAGGACCCGGGAACCATGAAGCTCTCTGTGCCTCGGCTTCATAACTAACAAAGGAGGAAGGATCGTATCTGCCTGCGCTGCCTCACACCCACATGGAAGATCAGCCACTGGGTATGCAGCATCGTGGCGTCCTGGGGGGCAGGGTGCCCTCGGGGCCTCCGGCCCTCTGGGGGTCCCCACTCACCACCAGCAGGTCGTTGAAGAGGAACACCTCCCTCTGGTGTGCGGCCTGCTTCTGCAGCTTGTTCACATCCGTCACCTCGAAGAGCCGGCTGCAGCAGACCAGGCGGCGATGGGGCTCTGACAGCACCTGGGCCGGGGCACAGCGCTCACAGCCGGGGGAGCCGCCGAGGTCGCAGCCCTCCTGCCCCCAGCGCCCACTTTGCAGAAGAGCAGATGCAGGCCCAGGTTGGCCCTGACCCTCCCTCTTTCCTCCCCCGGGCTCTCTCCCCTTCCTGAGCCTCCTTAGGGAGCAGGCCTGGGCCAGAGGGCTTCACAGTGCCAGACACAGTGAGCAGATAAAAGGCAGGGAAAAGAGATCGAAAAGAGCCTTCGGGCTGTGCGCTCCGTCCCTCCGAGGCCTTCGGGCTGTGCCTCTCTCTGCTGCACACCCAAGCACCAGTGTGCAAGAGGGAGGGGTCCCGGGGACACCACGAATCTGCTCCTGTGTGTGAAACAGCCCCCTCAGGGGGCGTCCGCAAACCTGACAGAGGCTCTGACCGCAGCACAGCAGGCTCCAGCCAGAAGAGGCCGGCCCCGCACGACTGGGCGGAAGCGTCCAGCACAGAGCCTCAGACGAGGTCCCCAAACTGCTCCCTGAGCCAAGAATTTGGGGAGGTTAGGGTTAGGGCGATGGAGGCCAGGACCTTTATGTCTACGGTATACAGAGCCCCTGCTGACGCCTACAGAGGACGCTCCCTTAAAAATCATTGCAAACTTGGAAAACGCTGCAAACTGCCCCACGGGCTACAACTCAGGGGCCACCCCAAGGATTTGAGAACCCACGTCTAGAGCCTGCTCTAGCCCATCTCCTGCCTCCTACTCTGTAGGACCATCCAGGATGTCCAGCACCCGTACCACCCCAAACCTCCCCATCTGGCCATCCAGATGCCTCGACCCTAGAGCACCCGGCGGCCTTTCTCAGTATTTCACTTCAACCTCTCCTGCCACAGGAGCCGGTCGCAGGGAGCGATGGGGAAATTGGGCAGGTGGAAGGAAGAGGGTGCCCCGCAGAGCACACGGAAGCACTGGATACAGTAACTACAAGTGAGCGAAGAAGGGGAACACGTTTCTGAAAGATGCGGAGGGGATGCCAGGAAGAAGGAAAGGGAAGGAGACGGAGACAGGGCCTCTGCGGCCCCGGGAGGGGAGATGATGCCCCGCAGGGAGCGCCGCTCTGTGGTGGGCACTTACTGTCTTCATGCCCACGATGGACTTCTCCACCTTGGTGACATACGTGACGTGGTCCTCGTTCGACTTGAGCTCCTTCTGCTGAATCCTTTCGTAGATGCCGACCACCAGCTCCCTGGGGATGTCAGCCCCGTCATCCACACCTACGGCCATGGAACGGGGAAGGGGAGGGGTGTCAGGGGCCTGGAGCCAGAGAGGGGGCGCCCCCTACCTGACTGCCGCTCCCGAAGAATGGCCTTGATTCTGTCCTGTCCCCGCTCCGAAGCCTTCAGTGGCTGGCTCCCCATACCCGCTAAAGTAGGGATGAACTCCTTCGCCAGGCACCGGAGCTACTACACTAGGGCCCAGCACATGGCCCCAGCGCCCCCTCCTACTGTTCCATAGCCAGAGCCTCCGCTCCCCCCTCCCAGGCCTCCTTCCCCATGTCTGAACGCGGCCTCCGTGGTCCTGCCTTTGCTCCCCCGGTTCTCCCGTCTTAACAACCTCCACCCCAGCCCCGCCAGGAGCATCGCCGAGCATCGCTGTGTCGGTCTTCAGGCCCTCCCCTCCCCTCCGGTAGGGAGCGTGGAGCTCAGCGATTAGTTGTTGAGTGGTGACGAGATTCTGCCCTCGCTGGGAGCACGGGGTGGCGGTGGTGGGTGGGTAGTGAGACATTAAGTGAAGGAGAGGAGGGAAGCCCCCGTGGTGGTGCTGTGAGGAGACCGCCACCCATCTCCCACTTCACAGTGACCTTCAGACTCTGGTAGCAAGAAATACCAGCAGGAAATATACCAACACGAAAACAACTTTCCCCAGAAGGTAGAAACAGAGGCAATAAAAAAAAAAAGTCTTCTTTTTACTTTTTCTAAATCTTTCTTTAATGATTATACACTCCTTTTTTTTAAGAGGGAAAAATTAAAAACAAAACATCTTGGGCTTCCCTGGTGGCACAGTGGTTGAGAGTCTGCCTGCTGATGCAGGGGACACAGGTTTGCGCCCCGGTCCGGGAAGATCCCACATGCCGCGGAGCGGCTAGGCCCATGAGCCATGGCCGCTGAGCCTGCGCGTCCGGAGCCTGTGCTCCGCAATGGGAGAGGCCACAACAGTGAGAGGCCCGCGTACCGCAAAAAATAAATAAATAAAAATAAAATAAAACATCTTGGGCAAGTGCTCTCCAAGGAGTTTTCCTAAGTGCCGAGAGGACATTACACCTTCTGTGAGCGGCCCTCTGTATTGACTCTGTTTCTCCCACATCTGAGTTTGGTTCTGAAAGTCAGGCACCCAGGGGCCTGGAAGAAGCCAGGCTGGGGGCAAGAAAGAGCAGGCCAGGGACTGAGCACACGGGGCTCCCAGGTAAAGACGGCAGGTTGCACCCCCTCTGCTCCTTCTGAATGCCCTAGAAAAGGGAATTTTTTTTTTTAAAGGCAGAGACGGGGGAAGAGGCAGTGGCACCAGGGGACCTGGAAGTGGGTGAATGAGTACATGGATCAGCAAACCTGGGAAAGAAGACACAGAAGCCAGCAGAGAGGTTAGGAGGCTCAGAAGCACCAAGCGCTCTGGAGTTGGTGCAGCCCCTGGAGGTGGAGGTGAAGTTGGGCTCGAAACAGGAAAGCCGGTTGAAAATCAGTTTAGAAGGCAATTAGACATCCCCGCCTCTTCCTCCACCCCAGTCTTCTGATGGAGGCTTCATCCTCTGGAAGGGATGAACCAGGAACTCTGGGCTGGGGGACCCCAAGCCCAGCCAAGGGTGGGAGTCTGTGCTGAAAACTGGGGGATGGAGATGATATCTACGTATTAGGAGACCCTCTCAACCCATTTCCCACAAAGATCTCGGAATACTGGCAGACAGACTCATACCCTCTGCGCAACAGACTGGACATTTCTCTTTTGAAGAAGCAACCAGCACAAGAGAAAATATCTAAAGAATCTGCAGTCAGGTCTCCCAGTGAAACAGCTCAACTAAATCTTGCTGTGAGAATGTCCATCAGTCAGCAGCCCCATACACGCTCAGAGTTTTAATCAGCCTTTTAGTGGTTCACTGTTAAATCTGGACGGACAACCAAGTTTTATCAGAAAAAACATCATACCTTCAGAGATGCGTAAGAAGATACTGCATCTACAAAACAGGAACAAAATGCTATAGGAGAGGAGCACTTAGCAAAAAAGAGTTATTGAAAGTGAAAAATAAGATAGCAGAAACGAAAACTTAGTAGGAGATTTGAAAGATAAAGCTGAGCGACATCTTCAAGAAAGTCAAACGAGAAGCCAAAGATGGCAGATAGAGAGCTCTAACGATCAGAGGCTCAAACTGGGAGTTCTACCCCCTGAATACTAGGAGTTCCAGAGGAGAGTATGGAAAATGGAGAGGGAAAATGATCAGATACAATATTTAAGAGGAGTTCCCACCTGAAGATAAATTCTAATTAGAGATGCTGTACATTGGAGTATATGTACGCAGTTTTCCAAAATAACATAAGCGTATGCGAAGATGTCCAGGCAGTTGCCAGATGGGGCAGAAATTTTACACTTTACAGAATTTTTAACACTTTACCAGTAGGGACGCCAAGGAGTCTGTACAAATAATTCGATCTGCAATTACTATTTGAGATTAAATATTTTGTGAATATTAAATTATCAGGTCTATCTGTGACTTAACCAATAACTGGATACAGCTGAAAGTACCAACTGATTTTTTTTGTTTCTTCCAGTTTTATTGCTATACAATTGATATACAGTACTGTGTAGGTTTAAGGTATACAGCTCAATGATTTGACTTACGTAGCTGATGAAACTGTAAGCAGCTCCTTTGCCCCTCTTCTGTTTGTTCATCCCTGTATTCCTCAGACCTTCATCATAAAGATGAGATCACTATGCCACATTCAACCTAGTCCCTGATTTCTGCTTTACTACATGTACAAAACGCCTTGCTCTTAACCTGTTGATCCCTTTCCTGGATTAGAAGGAGTAAGAATGAAGGATTAAGCAGTTAAAGAATGACTAACTCTCTACCCCTAGGTCCCCCTTAGTAAATTTGCAGGTGGACCCCGAGGGCACAGGCGGACCACGTGGGTCAAAGAATCCAATTGCAGACAGACCGCCTGAGCAACACAGCGTCCCAAGGAAAATCGGGAGAAGTCAGCAGGTCTGCATGCAATGGAAAAATGACAAAGAATCTGACCTCCTGCTTTAATGATTAACTGAGATCGTTTCCCCTTTTTCCCTTTAAAAATTGTCATGGTTGAGCAGAATCTTCAGAGTTGGTCTCTGGACAGAAGTCCACCTTCTCCCCAGATTGCCGGCTTTTCTGAATAAAGCATCTTTCCTTTCTATGAAAAAAAAAAAAAGTTCCCACAATCAGAGGCATGTGTTTCTAGACTAAAAGGAAGAACGCAGTACCCAGCACAATGGATGAAAGGAGGACCATAACAGGGCACATCATGGTGAAAATTCAGAACACAAAAGACAAACAGAGGAACCTAAAAATGTTCAGGGAGAGTGAAAAAAACATAAGCAAGAGGTCAGGGATTGTAACAGTGGCAGCACTGACACCTAAAAATCAACGGAGCAACGCCTCCCAAATTCTGAGTTCAGTGTTTCCAACCGGGAATTCTGCTCCCAGCCAAAGTTTCAATCAAGACTGAGGATAGAAAAAGACACATCCAGACATGCAAACTCTTAAAAAGTTTGTCTCCAGTGTACCTTTTCCCTGGAAGTGAACTAAAAACGAGGAAGCGATGAAACCCAGGAAACCTGAATCCAACACACATCAGTTAGGAGACGACTTGGCTGGTAAACACCATAAAGCTTATCTCAAGGCCCTGCTCACGGCTCTTCTCTCCTAAGTCGTGGAGCACGAAAGGGCCAGTACCACCCAGACAGCAGCCGTGGTGCCTGGGGCCCGGAGGTCACCCAACGGACGACGTTCCACAGAGGGCAAGGGGCATCGCCCAGGGGCTCTTGCCGCTTGCCGCAGGACAGTGGCAGCAGCTCCTGGAAACTCCCCCGATGCCTGGCATGCTAGCAACTTCCCCAGGGCCGCTCGGCGAGACCGGGCCCAGAGAGCGGCATGCAGTGCCCTTGGCCACCGGGGTGATGACCTAGCATCGGGGCTGAGGCTCCCGGAACGACCCAGGCAGCGTCCCCGCTCCTCCCGCCGCCGCCCCTCTACCTCGCAGGTTTCGGATGAAGTCCTCCAGCATCATCTTCCGGTCGGGCTTAATGTTGGGGCTATACATGTCGGTGTTGAGGAGGATGACAGCGAAGGCCAGGATGAAGACGGTGTCCGGGTTGTGGAACTGCCGCACCACCTCGGGGTTGCACATGCAGTAGCGCTGGCTGTGCGGGGAGACACGTGAGGGTGCTGAGGGCCCACACCCTCCCTGAGCTCCAGCGACGGGGGGACCTGGGAACGTGTCCAGCCCTCCGAGGGCTTAAGCCCAGGGAGGCTCCCCCTCCTGCCGCTGACTGCCGTCTGCCCCGTACCTCGGTCCCCATCCCCTCCTAGGGGACGGGGCAGCTGTCACACACCCAGAGACCCCCGGAACCCCACTCCCGGCCCCATTCCAGCCTCACACAGACGCTCAGGAAAGATGTGCTGGTCGATGGGGACGGTGAGGTGACTGCAGGGAGAGCCCGAGGGGTCTGTCCCGCATCTTTACTTCCCTCCAGGGACTCCTGGCCCCCAGGCTTACAGCCACTCTACTTCCCCCCCCCCCCAAGTCCCGGGTGTGTGCGAGGGGAGTGGGGCTGGGGAAGAGTCCCACCTGAAGGTCTCTATGAGCCGTTCCACCTTCTGGGCCTCGCCCTGCACGCGGATGTGCGCCTGGAACTTGCGCAGGGCCTCGTCCAGCTCCATGGCAGAGAAGTCCATCTCGTCCACCACGCAGCTGAGGCCGGGAGGGGAGGGGGTCGTGAGGGGCGGGGGCCCCGAACCTCGCTCCACCCACCAGAGCTGGGAGGAGGGCTGGGCCACCCGCCGGCTGGAAGCCCCACCCTGGTGGGGAGTGGGGACTTGGTGTCTGTGACCAACAAGGGGGGACTTACCCTACCCACCCCCAGGGTCTCCTTCCACCGCCCGCGAGGACCCTCGTTACACCTCCTCCCACCCGACCGCCCTGCGAGGGACCGCCTGAGGGCCTCCCTCCCACCTCCGGACCCTGGGGTCCGGGGCTGCGGCCAGCTGTCCGAGGCCCCAGGGCCAGGAGGCTGAGCCTGCTGCCTCCGAAAGCAGGTCCTTTCCTCTCAGCCCCAGGGTGCCCAGAGTCAGGGGTTCAAACGGTGAACAGTGCTTTCTCTTCTGTCCTCTCCAAGGCCTCTCGGGGCCTTTCTCCCTGGTTCCGCCCCGTTTGGGAACCTCCTCTTACACCAGCACCCTCCCAGGTCGGAGCGTCTGCAGACTCCTGGGCCTCCCTCCCGAGGCCCTCCCAGCCGCCGGCGTATCCATGCTTCCCCTCCCCGGGGAGCACCGCTTCCAGCGCCGTGAGCAGCGGGCCCCGTGCCCCTGAGGGCCACAGGCCCCCCCGTGCAGCGGACATGTCGCCTTCAGCACCCACACGCTGCACTGCGCTCCTCTGTCCTGGTCATCGTACACCTGCCCCACCCTGCCCTTTCTCTGTTCCCACAGCCCGTGGTGGACGCCACCAGCGTCACAGCCCTGGACACCACTGCCCACCTGTCCCACCCTGAGCAGGCCCCAACTCCTCCGTGATCAGCTCTGGGGCTGCCTGCGGCCTGGGAGACTTGGGGGCCCCGCTTGACCCTGGCTCTGCTGTCAGTTTTTAGGAGAAAGCAAGGAGCCCCCGTGGCGGCAGTCAGGGCCCTGGTGGTCGGCGGCCCCGCCTCCCCCCACTCCTCTTGGGGGAAACAAGGAGGAAGGGGCGTCCCAAGGCCACTCAGAAAGGGCAGGGCCGGGGGCTCTTTCCCCCAGGACAGGGCAGACGGCTGTCTGCAGGCTGGGAGCCACACTCAGCTTGGTAAAGCCCGGGCTTCTCTCAGGCTTGGCGGCCTTAGTAGAGGGTGGGGCAGGGACTGGGAGATGGGAGGCAAGGACTTGGCCCAAGGATGGGAATGGGCTGCGTCTCGGCACCTGAGACAGACAGCAGGTCCAGCAGGCGAGAGGGCAGCTCCTGTCACCTCTTCCCTGGGCCATCCCCAGGTGAGGGAAGGTGAACTCAGGGCAGCATCACAGGGTCCACAGCTGCGTGTCCCCCAGCCCAGCCCAGCCAGGCCAGGAGGGACGCATCGAGCATGACTGAGCCAGACAGGATGCCGGTCGGAGGGGGCGAACCGGTGCGGCAGGAGGGCCATGAGCGGGAGCCGGGGAGGGAGCCAGAGACACAGAGACAGCGAAAGATATGGGGGTAGAGACTCAAGTGAGAGAGACACGGAGGGAGAGACAGAGAGCAAGAGTAAAAGAGAGACAAGAGGAGAAAGAGGGAAAGCCAGCCAGAAGGGAGAAGGCAGAGCAGACGAGGGGGATGAGGCTCGGCCGGCTGGGCGGGGCAGGCCTGGTGTGCAGCAGCGGGCAGCCACACTGCAGCCTCTCGTCCTCGGGCCCCGCCGACTCCTGCAAGGCCCAGGCCCAGGCAACGGGCCCCAGCCTGGCCACCCCTGACACACAGGCCGGCTGCCCGGAGGACCCAGAACGGCCCTGGTCCCCCCGGTCTGGGGTCCAGGACTTGCCCGTCAGTCCATCCATCCCACCCCCAACCTGGCCCCCCTGCATGACTCTGAACCCCACGGGCCCGGCACCCTGTGTCCCTCAGTGGTGTCCTTCCCAGAACCTCTGTCCATGGACTGTCCCCCATGCTCTGGACCGGGGCTGACCCCACGATGGGCACCGAGGGAAGCGGCGGGAGGTGGCCGCAGAGCAGCCGGGAGCTGGCGGACGTGCCCAGCCAGGCACGGCGGCCGGCTTTCCAGACCTTCACTCAGGTGACTGCTGCTGGCCGCTCCAGTAACAAGCCGGAGAGTCAAGGACCAGGGCAGGAGACTCAGCCGGGTGGAAACGCCAGCCCGCAGAGCAGGCAGCAGCCTACACCACCCACGGCGCGGGGTGTGCAGGCCTCTGCGGGCGGACACCTGTGCCAGGGGCTGGGGAGGCTCTACAGCCCACCTCTTGCAGGACCCCATGGCAGAGCCTTCAGGCAGCCGGTTAAAATGCAGGGCCCCGGCCCTACCCCGGATTTACCAACTAGACGATTGAGAGCAGTGCCTGGGAATCAGCATCCCTCAAACTCGCCAGCCGATCCTTAGAAACAGAAAACGAATGGCTGAGCCGAGCGCAAGGTCGGGGGGATGCTTTTAAAATGAGAGCCTGGAAGCTCACGGGAGCACGCGTGTCCTTTCGGCTCTCAGGGGCTGCTTTTGTGGTGGGGTGGTGAGGGAGGGAGCGTGGGAGGGAGAGACAGACAGCCCCACCCCTTCTCCACGGCACGTGCGCATACACACACGTATGCGCGCGCAGGCGCACACACGCACGTACACGCGCACGCGGGCGCGCGCACGCACACACACACTGATTTCCTGCCTTGCTCCCTGCAGTTGCCACCACGGGCATCGCTGTTTGATGGGCAGGTGGTCTGGGGTTGTCAGATCTTTGAGAAAAAATCTAGACGTTTTCTGCAAAACCCCCAGAAGCTGTCTTGAGAGGCGGAAAGACACTACTGCCTGCAAATCGTTTCCTGTCTGTAGAGCTGGGGGTTGGGCCAGGTGACCCCTTGCCCCACCATGACATTCTCTGATGAGAACCCAGACCCAGAGCCGGCCCACAGGCAGTCTCTGGAGGCGCTGCAGATGCTTGCAGGCAGCAGGGGAGGTCAGCGTCGTTTCTGGCTGCTTTGGAATACAGCTCACACGACTGGCTGCTTCTCCCCGCCTCCCAGGGAACCAGTGCCCTCCTGGGGCAGGTGGCCGGGCCGAGGCCATGCCCTGGTGGACCCTCACCTTGTAACGGGGGCTCCGTCATCCAGGAATCACTCCCCACCGTCCTCGCCCCTCTGCACAGCGTGGCTCTCCCTTCCCTCCCTAAGGTGCCAGCCTGCACCTGACCTTGGCTCTCTCTCCTCTCCTCTCCCCGTCTCCCGTTCTTCCCGTGTTCTGCAGATCACCTGCACCTAAAACCTCCCCTCCTGTCCGTCTTCTTCTTCATCACCCTGAAATCCTGCTGGGAGCAGACTGCTGGCAGTTCTCCAGATCCTCTGCCACCTCCACCAGCACAGCCAACAGCCCTCTCCTCTCTGATCACCTTTAAGGTGAAAGAAATCACACGTTTCTGGGTGGTCGTTTCTGGTGTATAATCTCCCTATTTTACAGAAGGTAAAACTGAGACTGCAAAGGGGCTTGCTTGGTGTTCCCTCTGCTAGGGAGACCCTCCCCAATCTACGCCAGTGGGCAGCTCCCTCTGCACCTCCTTCACTGAGTATTTTTTTCAGTGCTTCACTAAGTGGGCAATGACTTCATCTCCTCAGTCCGGTGGGATATTAAGCATCATCCTGTTATTCTTTACTATATGAGGAAACCAAAGCTCACGAGAGAGCTGACCTTGCAGGGGGCACTGCACACATCGCACTCCTGGCATGTTCCCTCCCGGGGGCTGTTGCTAATGCATCTCTCGCTGGGGGCTGCTCTCTCACCCAGATGCCTGGTGGGACCTGTGAGGGCCCAAGGAGGGGCAGTTGGACACATCACAGAGTCACGGGTGAAGGCCACTCCAATGTCAGCAGTCACATGAGGCCATGTGGCCACCCTGCAGTTTCTGAGCTGGCTTGGTACACGGAGCCCACAGCAGCGGACCAAACCCCTGACCCCCTACCTTCTGCCTCCTGGGGCTTTCTCTGACCCCCAGTAGCTAACTTGCCCCCCCCCTGCCTCAACCCCCCCCCCCCCCCCCCCCCCCCCCCCCCCGCATGCACTGAGCACCTCTGCATATGCAGCACTGTGCTAGGGACCTGGAATAAGTGGCAAACAACACAAACACAGATCCTGTCCCAGTGAGAGAGACAGGCATTAAGCTCAGAGTCAAAAATAATTATTTTGGGCTTCCCTGGTGGCGCAGTGGTTGAGAATCTGCCTGCTAATGCAGGGGACACGGGTTCGAGCCCTGGTCTGGGAAGATCCCACATGCTGCGGAGCAACTAGGCCCGTCAGCCATGGCCGCTGAGCCTGCGCGTCTGGAGCCTGTGCTACACAACGAGAGGCCGCGATAGTAAGAGGCCTGCGTACTGCAACAAGAGAGGCTGTGATAGTGAGAGGCGCGCACACCGCGATGAAGAGCGGCCCCCACTTGCCACAACTAGAGGAAGCCCTCGCACAGAAACGAAGACCCAACACAGCAAAAATAAATTAATTAATTAATAAACTCCTACCAACATCTAAAAAAAAATCTTATTAAAAAAATAAATTAATAATAATTATTATTTCATTATAATCGTGACAAGTTCTGTGTAGGGAAAGGACAGGGTTTTGTGAGGGGACAAAGGAGATGTACTTTTTATTGATGTGTCCAGAAATGCCTCTTTGGGGATGTGACATTTGAGCAGAGACCTAAAAGATGAGTAGGATCTGATTAAGGGAGGGGGAGGGGTGGGGGAGACATGATAAGATCCAGTTTGTTTTAAGATGATTTCTCTGGTGTTGGGCGAGAATGAATGAAAAAGGAAGGGCAGGAGCAAGAGAGAAGCAGCAGGCCATCAGGATGCACCTACAGAGGTTCAGGCTAGAGACGACGAGCCTTGGCTAAGGTGGAACAAATTGAATGGACCTGAACAGACCTGAACGGACCAGGCCAGCTCAGAATCTGAGAGACATCCTGGAGGGAGAACTGATGGGACAAGGTGATGGAAGGAATGTGGGCAGTAGGGAAAAGGAGTCGGCGGTGAGTCTCAGA